GGAGTCAAACTCTTTTCCCAAAAAACGTGTTATTTTTGAAGAAACAATCATGTGGTCTTCATCTTCAAAATCGTGTGACTACAATCTCTTCATTCTATATCTTAGAATTCAAAATTCAAGCTACTTCATTTTGAAATTTAGTGAGTTCACATTTATTATGGTTGCATGTTGTTTTCTGTTTTGCGTGAATACGTGCAGATGATTCTATGTATAAAAATATATTTGCGTCTGCATCTGTGCTGCATGTTGCAGTTTGTGGTGTGCATGGCTTTGCTATTTTGGTGTGTGTAATCTCAGCAAAGCTAGTTGGACAGAGCATTGGATATCTGTTATTCATCATCTTTACTTTGTTCCTCTTTCTAATACACCTTTGTACCATATTTTGTGAAGACCTGATTCCAAGTAGTACAGAACCTTCACTTGATGAGCAGCTTAAGGAAGCTCCATTTGGGAGTATGCCAATTTGGGTTCAATCATCAGATATGACTTATGGTTGGTGATCTTTTCTTTTTTTATTGGACTTTTTAATCCCAAAATATCTCTTTTGTTATATGTTTATTCTTCCATTTTCTTTCTGTTTTGGTAACTGCTTTCGTTTGCTTTTCTTTTCTTGGCTTTTTTTGGAGCTTAGCATTTATTAAGAGGATTTTTCTCTGTGTTCTCTGCGGGTTATTTTCTGTATTTTATTGCATTATGATCCTTAAGGTGGTGCTACTATTTGATACAATTGTAAGCCTTGAGCTCAGTTACAGAAAGATCTTGAAGGTCAAAACTGTAAGCTGATTGTTATGAACTACATGGCTAGTGGAATTGATCGACACATGGCTCCTAGAGAGTGACACACGACTACTAGAACATATTATTATTTTATTTAGTTTCATTTAATGATATAATTAATTATTGGGATAAATCTTAATGTAGGTTTTAGGATGTGAGGGATAAATGTAACGACAGTGTTTAGGATATGGAGGTAGTTGCTTCCAACTAGAATGTTATCATTCTTGGAACAAGTTATGTTTTCTTGTACAAAAACGGAAAATCTGGATAGGATAAAATATTGTCAAAAACTTTTTCTGGTACGCTAAACTCTATGAGGTCATCAGGTTCTCTCTTAGTGAGCTATACCATTAATCGAAGTCCTATAAACTAAATCCTACATAGGGACCATAACAATGCACATGGTTGTTAGGATCCTAGGGGATAAGTGTAGGTAGTGATGTACGATAAGGAAAAGTTGGACATATAACTTTGAAAAATTTATTGAGAATGGAAACTAGAGATACCGTATCTTAGTTATCAAATTAACAACTTAATGTTTGAATAATAATCATATAAATATCTTATTAAAAAATTTATATAAATATCTGTATAACTAAGTAGGGTACCCTCTTTACAGGGATCAAAATAAGAAAGATTTTTGGATAGGATTTCTACTAAATGGAAAAATAGCTAAATAATTAAATAACCTATCATACATAATAATTAAATATCATCCTCACTAAATAGGATACGCTAGTAATAAGTCTTTAGCTGATAATTCCTAAATTAGCTAAGATAACTTAACAATATATAAACAGTACAGTTATATAAATATCTTTTATTATTGAAATATATTCACTTTAATATTTTCTTGTTCTGCATCATTTTGCCCCACTTGGTTAAAGCACTTTGAGTTTTGGAATCTAAAAGTAAAAGGAATATCAAAGTTTTAACTTGTCTTTCTAACAATTGAAGCTCGATATTATCATGAGAAAATAAAAAACTTCCAAATCAGGGGTTCTGAAGATCTTGTGAACTAAATCAGAAAGGCAAAATTCATAAAAGAAAGAGTAATCAACTTTCTTCATTGTTACTAAGAGTCAAAGAATTTTGGACTACTATCTTCAAGTGGATCTTTTTTTTTTCCTTAAAATCATTGAGAATATCATCATTTTCAATCCCAAGTATATCATTGCTCAACTAAATCAAGAAATCCATTAATAAACGACTCAGTTTGTATAATAGAAATTGCAACATCTTTCCATAATTTCCTTGGTTGTCTTATCTACTAACTATTATTAGTTGGATGGTTAGTGGTGATCTTCTCGGTTACCTCATTTATTAACTTGCTTTCATGAATTAGATCATCAATCACAGTGACATCATATTACTCCATAGGAAAAGATAAGTCATGGCATATGATGGTTACTACATTACTTAGATCTTGCAAGGGAATGCCTGATGATATTGTTGTCTACATTAAATATGGTTTAAGCTTAATGACATACTTTTTAAGAAGTCTTGCTATTAGCCCATGAGCAATTAGCAAAATCTTTTGGTTATCTCATTGAACACTATTTAGGAGTGAAGAGAGTAATTACACCAAGATGTAATCACTTTCTTGTAAAAGAGTAATTGTATATGAGAGAGCATTCTTCTATTGAGACTGGATAGACCTCAGGAAGTGCATAAATATGTCTGCAATTAGTTACACAATGAAGATCCAATATCACCAGATATATTCTAATTCTTGTAACTATTTCAATAATTAAGATTTTTCTAACATATGATTGTCTTGCCCAATCACTTGATAATTTAAATGTAAAAACAAATAATTCAAAAACCTCTTTCATCTCTATATCATTATGAAGAATGTCTAGTGTGATACTTCTTGTAAGTTCACATATGCATTAAACAACTTCAAATTTGATATTGATGTTTGAGTAGTTGATAAGTTGATCATAGATTAAGGCTCTTAATAATGGACAAAGTACAGTTTGCATTGACTTAGATGGTTTTTGGTGGACCTTTGGAGACAATATTGAACTTCGTCCAAAGGCAAAGAAGTTACTAGTTGAATGAGGGGGGAGGGGTCAGTAAGCATATAAACAATTTCCGTAAGCCATTGTTTCAAGTCCCTTAACAGAGGATGTCATATCATTACTAGCATTACCTTGATTTTCTTTTCTTTTGCATCAATCTAATCGGAAGATTTAATATTTTAAATCAAATGATGGATTGCATGAATAGATATTAACTCCCTTGTCCAAAATATCAGCTTATCAATAAAGGAGTGTATGAGGGAAATTCGATCAAACAAACCTCAAAAAATAAAAAAATACAGACAAAAACATTAAGAATCTGTTTTGAGGTGGTTGAACTAGACAAGTCGAACCGGATTAGGTCAAACTGGTTTGAATTGGTCAATAGAAGGCTTTAGAAATTTTGTAACCATGCGCGTTGGTTGGCACATTGGCAGTCATGTGCACGCTCTCGTGGTGGTCCTCCAATGTAGATTTCCCAGAGAGGGGTTTAACTCGAAGCTTTGGTTCTGGATTTGGTGTCACTTGTTACCGGACAGAAATAAGGTAGTCTATTAATTGCAATGCGATTAGGTGGTTTTTTGGCAAATGGGAAGAATTGCACCAATTGTGGACACCAAATTTTGGTATATGCCAGTAGGTAGCCTCTTATGCCAACTAAAGTGACAGTATTGACTACCACCTGGTGCTGTTAACGGTTGCTGTTATTCTTTCTCCTGTCGTTGCCATTACTCTTGGCTGCTGATTTAGGGTTCTACAATATTTTTTTTTGTTTTTTTTTTTAATTTGTTTGTCTGTTTTTTATTTTTTTCATTTGCATTAGGGTTGTATACTGTGAATTCAGGATGAGAATATAGCGCATCATGATGAATTGAGTACTAACATCTAATACCAATAGATATAGGATAAAATAAAGTAGAATTAATTTATTAAGAACTTGGACTAGATATCTTGGATTTCGATCATCAAATCAATAACTCAATATTTGAATAATAATCATATGAATATCTGTCGATTAATTAAGTTAAGATGCCTTATTTATACGCACCAAAATAAGTTAAAGTAAGAAAATTTT